GGAAACTTTAAGTGAAATCAAATTGAAGATTGAACTTTTCTAACTCAGAGTAACTCTCTAAAATCCCTCTTTAAAACTGAAAAAAATGAACTTATTAAGTTCCTTTTTTCCTAAAACCTTATGTACATTCCGTTGATCAACTTTGACCCTAACTGTAAACAATTCAACTCATAAGAATTCCTTATCTCTAAGAGTTCACTAAAACAACATACTGAAAGATAATACAGTGTTCATAACACATACATGTGGAATAATAGGATCTATTTGCATATAAATTATATTAAGTTTGTGATGAAAACTTTTAAACATACTTGCTGGTGAGCTGTTGAATCATAAAATTTCTCCTTATCAATGAGAAGAGTACTCCAAGTGTGTCCTTTATCAGACTATTAACTTCTCTTCAATAATGTGAAGATCTTACATGAATCCACACCAAGACCAACCTCTATTTTTTAAACACTTTGAAAAAGTGAAATAAAAAATAAAATGCTTAAGAATTATATGTGAGAAAGGAGGTAGAAGAGATAATAGAAAAAAACACATTTACTTTCTATTCAGTAGAAAATCCTACTTATAGCACAATAAAGATCTTCTTTTCCTTAAATTAGGAAATTAGTAACATATTTTATTTTGGTTTTTCAAATAAAAACAATATCAAATATGTATCTTTAAGAGATTGTATCCTTTTTTTTTTATAAAGATTCATATTTTATTTTTGTTTTTAAATAAAAATAATATCAAATATGTATCGGATTACATCATTTTTTATATTATAAAGACTCATATTTTGTTTTATTTTTCAAATAAAACAATATCAAATATGTATCTTTAAGGATTTTCATCTCCTCTTATTTATTAGTATAAACAACACTGATCAAGTCTAATTCTTTAATCGTATATTTTTTATCAACTACTTTCTCCAATTTGAAATTCAAAAACATTTCAAAAAATTATGTATACTCTAAGTGCTAGCAAAGAATATAATAATATTTCACTTTAAACTATTTAATTTGATCAAATTAAATACTCTTATTTAGTCATCAAATGTTAAAATAATTCCTTTTACAGAGATTAGAACATTCGTTTGTGTGTGACCCTATAAGTTCAATACTAAGCTGGTAATAAATTAATCAAATTAGTATATTAATCAAGGTAGGTATCTAGCAATACTCCTTAACGTCCAAATAGTATGAAGTAATATTTTACTTTCAAGAACTTAAAAGAACATATAATATTTTTCTTCCATCGTTACAACTCTTAGTTAACTCTAGATTATGGTATTATCGTCAAACTCCATTAAATTAACCTATCACAACTGACTTAAGAAATTCATTTCTTCTTTCAATCAATTTTCCTGGCTAGGATATTATTTTATTAATAGAGCTTAAACTCATTACCAAGAGTTGATGGATTCCTTCTTGATTTCTCATTAATTCTACAAGCATTTGATCATATCCAATATTCATTCAACTAGTACCCTAAGAAATTAGGTGTCTGAAATTAAAATATAATAAATTACTTGTTAATCACTATGATAATCTCAGGTCAAAGAAAAACATTTAGTCTTATCTGGAGAAATTTCTATTATCGAATTAAGGTAATGTAAACCATTAGAAATTTCCAATTGAGTAAGTTCAAATGATCATACTCACATATGCATCATCTATATATGTAATTTATAAATGAGATCTATTAATCTTTATCCTATAAGGACATTCACATATATACTGATCTATTCGGATTTATTGATGTCTCGTATACAATAATCTTATGATCAAAAACAATTTAGATTAAAATAATACCATGCTTTTGCTTCTCATTATCATAATCTTTATTATAAAAATAAGCAATTTTAATCAAGGACCTTATGTATTTAACAAAATGAAATTAATAACACTTTATCAATTTGGATATGATTACATGATGAATTAGATATTGAGCATATTTAATTATTCTTCAACACATACAACACAACAAAATAACATAAAATTACAAAACATCCAACAACTTTTTTTTTTAGTTCGTCCCTGAAATATCCACCGCCGATTTAACGCGACTGCATACACAAGGCAAGATTCGAACCCTTGACCTTGCTTAAGGTGGATCAACCCCTACCACTGAACCACACACTTGGAGTTAAATATCCAACAACTTAAAACTCACATAAAAGCAAACATATAATGTTATAGAAACCCACTTCAAGAAAGATTGCTTCCAACAAAAAAAATATATGATCTATAACCAAATATACATCAATATTCACAAATTATTATTATTTTTTAGGTTAAAAACCTAATTTGGTCCCTTATAATATTTTTTGTTTCAATTTAGTCCCACTTTAATTTTTTCTTTCAATTTGGTCCCCAATAATTTAAATTATTGCAATTTGGGACTTCTGTCCAAATGATTTAAACGGGGTTAACTCCTGGTGACGTGGACGCCACTTGGATGCGAACGTGGATGCATACGTGGATGCTTAATTTTTTATGCATCTGAAACAAGAACGGTCCGTTCTGAAACCAGAACGGACCGTCCTGGTTGCACTCATGGTGCGTAAATTTTGCATCCGGAACGGGCGTTCCGGATGCATTATTTAACACCAACGAGTGCATCAGAACGGGCCGTTCCAGAACACCATCCAACACACAATGTAGTTCAAAGATCAAAAGACAAACTATTTACACATACATATTTTTTTTTTTTATCTAAAAAATAATATATTTTAAAAAATAAAAATTATATTCTAATAAATATATATATATTTAAATTATCATATGTATAAAATATAAATTTCGAAGAATTATTCATTTATCTCATATTTGTCAAACTTTTTTGCTTTCTATTTATTGTATATGTTGATAAAAAAATAAAAATTGTAAAAATTTATATCACATATCAAAAACATCTTTATATGATAAATAGATTAAATTTGATTTTTATAAGATTTAACATATTTATTTTTATGTTTTTATTAGTGTTAAATTATTATTAAGTAGGTTTTTAAAATTGTAGTTCTAACCAAACATTTTAAAAAATATCTATGACAGATAAATATATCATTTTAATAACATGTATTTTTAATAAAAATTAGGTTTAATTCTGTTAAATTATAATATAACATAATCTGACATAGTTTATTTTCATCTTTAATCGTAATTGTAGATATAAAAACCTGTAAAAAATAACTATAATATATATTTATACTTTTAAAAATTATATGTAAAATTTTTAATATTACAAATATATAAATAAGTATTGCTCCCACGATCTAAAATTTCTGGATTTGTCACTGACTATAATCATCGAGTTTGTATTTGGCATTTTGGAACCAGAACGGGTTCTGAACGACCCGTTCTGGTTGCACTCTTGATGTGTTAATTTTGCATCCAGAACGGCCCGTTCTAGGTGCAAAATTAACACATCAAGTATGCAACCAGAACGGGCCGTTCTGGTTTCAGAACGGGCCGTTCTAGTTTCAGAACGGGCCGTTCTGGTAACAGATGCATTAAAAAAAATTGGCATCCACGTGTGCATCCACGTGGCATCCACGTGGCCAACAGTTAATTCTGTATAAATCATTTAGACAGAAGTCCCAAATTGCAATAATTTAAATTATTGAGGACCAAATTAAAAAAAAATTAAAATAAAACTAAATTGAAACAAACAAATATTATAAGAGACTAAATTAAAGTTTTAACCTTATTTTTATTAGAAGAGGAAGAGTCCCCCAAGAAGCAACCTACAATCTACAACCTACGACCTAACCGAACGTGAAAAAGTAAGTCGAAAAAATCTTGAAAGAGCAATATGACAGGCATGGTTGGCTCATCGATCCAAAGGAACAATTTAGGACAACACAAAGGCGGTTTTAGAATGGAGGCATATATTGTTGAATGTCAATCCCCCGAGAGTGGGCAAGGTTGCCTCACACAATTCCCGTCCATGAACGTGCCCAAAGGCTACTTTTCACACGCCATCACTTTGCACCATATTCACAAACTTATAAAATTTATGATTAGCTGAACACTCAAATATTTATTTATTTATAAAATTAGTGTCACGGAGACGTTTATATCTTCATATTTATTTAAAAATATTTATTGACTCAAATAACATCATACATAATTTTTAAATTTTTAAATTTTTAAATTTTTAAATTTTTAAATTTTTAAATTTTTAAATTTTTAAATTTTTAAATTTTTAAATTTTTAAATTTTTAAATTTTTAAATTTTTAAATTTTGAATTCAAATCTTAAATTTATAAAAATAATTAATTTTTAATATTATTTTTATTATTTAAAAATTAAAAATAAAATAATCTTAAAAATTATGTCACAAAATCAGAAAATCTCTTTTATATATATATTTTTTAGTTTTTCTCCGCCTTAAAAACTTAAGCAACTCTTGATAACAGAATATAAAATTAAAATAATGTCTCCTTTAATCTAACGGTCGGTGTAGACGACTATCCATCCCATCGCAAATTAAAAAAACAGTAAACCCCTTAACGTTCGGACAAAGCAGCGTTAAACTTATCGATCTTCATTTAAGTTTAAGTTTCCTCCGGTATCCCAAGCTCTGGTATTTTGAAAAAAAATAACAATAATTTCTTTATTTATACATGTGATATATTTTGATAACCATCTTTATAATTTTTATTTTTTAATAAATTATTATATCTTTTAGATATAAAAAAATATAATTTATATTTTTTTAAATAATTATTCATAATTTTTAATTTTTAATATTTATTTGTATCTAACTATTAGAGACACAAAATGATTCAATTTATCTAATATATTATTAAGGAAATACTAATTGATATATAATTTTTTTTATTTATTTTAATAAATTATTATATCTCATAAATAATGTTTTTTTTAGACTTTTTTCTAAATAATTAAACACAATTCTTTAATATTTATTTATATATAATCCTTTAATAATAATAATAATTAAAAAAAAAGACATTATGCACGAGACAAGCGAGTCGATGGAAACTCCGAGAGACGAAGCCACGTGACATTTCAACCCCTATTTACTCGACGCCCCTCACCAGTCCCTTCCTTCATAATAAGACCACCACGCTCCCTCTTCCTGCACCCGCAAACAAACATGCAGCGCGCGGCGGCGACCACGGACCAGCCACGGCGGAGCTCCGGCCACGCGGCGGCGGAGGCGGAGGAGAAGGTCTTCAGGGGCAGCGAGCAATTCTCCGACGCCTCATCGAGTTTTCTGAAGACGGTTTTGGCCCTCGCGCTGTGGCTCGGAGCCATTCACTTCAACGCAGCGTTGCTGCTCTTCGCGCTTCTCTTCCTCTCTCTCCACCAAGCGCTATTGTTCGTTTCGTTCTACTTTTCTTCTTCCTTTGAATTACACGCTTTGTGTATGTATCATCAATGCTTCCCTGGTGTTAAAACTTGAAACTTAGAACTTGAAAACGGTGCTTCCAATTGCGTGCAGGCTTTTTGCCCTGCTTTTTGTTTTGATGGTGATTCCTGTGAATGAAAAGAGCAATTTCGGTCGCAAATTGTCAAGGTACTTTTTTTTTATGACAGAAGGAAAAATTGAATTTAAGTGGTTTTTATGACACAGTTTAAGTATCTTGCTTTTGTGGTTGAATAAAGTATATCTTTTCTTCAGAAAAAAAAATAAAAAACAAATTGGGTGTGTTGCTTTCAGGTACATATGCAAGCACGTTTGTGGTTACTTTCCTGTCACGCTTCATGTAGAGGATATAAAGGCCTTCCATCCCAATCGCGCTTATGGTTTGTCCCAGGCTATCAATTCTACTTTTGACTTTTTAGATTTTTTCTTAAAGCATAGTACATCTATGTTTTCACTTGTAACTGAGATGTGATCATAATAGTATATGTAACATCTTTTTCGCTTGTAACCGAGATGTGATGAAAATAGTATATGTGAGTTGCCAGACCTCACTTTATGAACTAACTTTTGAGGTTGAGTTATGCCTGACTCGAAATTCTAAGTTGGTATTATAGCCTATCCTAGTAGTTGATGTTTGACTTATTAGAGTGTATTGGAAATTTTACATTAACTAATGATATTTAGCCTGATCGAATGTTAAAAGTATTTTTGAGAGTTTTTTTATGGGAGTTTTTTTTTTTTTTTTTTTTTTTTTTTTGTGGAGAAGCTCCCAAAAGGTAAAAACAGTTTTGAGCTTGTATCCAAACAGACTTATAATCAAAAGTGTTAAAGGTGGGAGACAACCCTTTTTGCTAAGCTAGCTTTTGAGATTGAGTTAAGTTCAAACTCAAATTCAAGATCTTGTGTGTAGTTTTTCTTTTTTATTTTTTTTTCCTTTTCTAAATCTGGCACGAAATTTTAAACTATATCTTTTGGGTAAGTTTGGTCTGTGGTTTTGGTTTAGGAGGGAAGGGTAGCGGGAAAAGTGGAACGATTGATATAGAAGCTTGAGACTTGAGATAATTGTTCCCTTTGCTTGGTTGCTTGATTCCTCATGGGAGCTGTGACAGTTGAGAAAAGTCCAACAACTCAACTTAAATTTTTTTAAAAGAGACCGTACTAGATAAGGTGGAACTATAACTACTCTTAATTGCCGAGTAACTGCTCTTAGTTTTAATTTCTTAAAGGATTCTGGCAACAAGATGTTAAGGAGCATTAGATACAGCCTATTAAATGTTTCTAATTGCCTAAAACTGCATGTATTGAGTGCGTTTTTGTATTTTTGATACAAAATAGTATTTTCTTTTTCAGTAAAAGCTTTTTATTTGAGTTTCTTTAACCAATGCTCTTTGAGTAATAGTTAGCTTTTGCATCTCTTAATTTGTCATCAATTCAATATATTAAATATGTATAAACAAATATGACTTTGATTAATTAAGGCATGACAGATAAAAATGTTTTAATTATTTTTATTTTAGAAATTGCAATTAGAAGCAGCTGGTTTGAAGTGTGGATAGACCATTATAGTAACAAAACAAAAATGGTTTTTTGAACTATTATTACTGGCCTGGATGAAGTGATTTCTTGTTTATACTTGGCCGAGCTAGATCTGAAACATCTTTACTAATTTTAAGCTAGTATCTCTCTCTCACTCTGGTGATGATTTCTATTTTATTGTTAGAAGTGACATACTGTTTTATGTTTTTAGTAACAACATTATGTCCTCTCATGCAGTTTTTGGTTATGAACCACATTCAGTTTTGCCGATTGGAGTTGTCGCTTTAGCTGACAACACAGGCTTTATGCCTCTACCTAAAATAAAAGTTCTTGCTAGCAGTGCGGTGAGGCTTTTATAGACCCTATTTTGTAATGAAGGTTATTGAGAATACAATTTAAAATTTTTTCTTATCACACTTGACAAATAGGTATTTTACACACCATTTTTGAGACACATATGGACATGGTTGGGTCTGACACCAGCATCAAGGAAAAGGTTTACCTCCCTATTAGACGCTGGCTATAGTTGTATCTTAATACCTGGTGGAGTGCAAGAAACATTTCTCATGGAGCATGGTTCTGAGGTTTGTTGTTTTTCACTCTCCCTCTTAACTATATTTATATTTGTATACTTCTATTGACAACAGAACATGTTCATCCATTTAGATAATATAGATATAGGATCATGGCAAACGCTAGTTGTAGTAATATGTTGGTATAGGCATTTTCCCGTGCTATGCAAGTGCTTGGACTGAATTAGCATCTGTGTGGCATATGTTTGATAGTCATATAACTTTGGTTTTTCCCCTCTGATATTTCATTCTAATGCATACGTAGTTTAGATAGAAGAGTGGAAAATACATTATTTTGATTTGTTTATATAGGCTATAGACCGCATTTTAGGATTAGTAATCTGAAATGTTTCAGCTATGACTTGCCAACTGCCACTAACATTCTTAAGTTGTATCTAATTCTTGATATTAGAGTAATCAGTAATGTAGAATACAAAAGGGAATATATAGTTGTGAATTATGCACACGATTATTAACTACACTTAGAAACAAGTTTGATCTAGCATGCTTTATCTATTTGACAAATACAGCATTCGGAGCTTTTAACAAGAAACATTTACCTCAAATACTGATAGAAACTTGGATTTCGTTTTTAAAATATGAAGATTTAATCCTTACAGCAGAGCTAGACCTCTGTAATCTCTCAAAGACAGAAACAAAACAAGAACACAAATGAAGATGGTTGCTGACAGTTAGAGGGGTCTGCTTCCTCCCTGCCCAAGGGCCCCAAATGATCTAGGATCCTTCCCTCCCTTTTAATCTTTTATCCTTGCTTCTAATCATTTGCTCCTAGCTGACTTGCCATGTACTTACATCATACGCACCATACACTTCTGGTTGTCATCGTGCATGTTTGCTTTTATGCATGTATAATTGTACAGCAGCAAAATGAAAATAAAATAAAAAATAAAAATAAAATTCAGAGTATGTTAAGTATAAGTACATTATATTGGTTAGATATTTTGGTGTTTATTTTTTGCTGATTTTTGTATAGGTGGTATCTCTTACTGTTTGGATTTGGGTTGCATTTAACTTGTTTCTACTGTTTATAAAGATAGGCTGAAAAAGGTTCTAATTAAAACGAGTCTTACTGTATGAAAATCCTTTATATGTTCATATAGGTTAACAATATTAAGAATTATTTTCTTTCTAGATTGCCTTTCTTAAGGCTAGAAGAGGATTTGTCCGCATAGCAATGGAGAAGGGAAAACCCCTGGTTCCAGTTTTCTGCTTTGGGCAGGTATTTTTTTCTTGCCCATATATCTTCTATTCTTATGGAAAAATATTGCAGTATTTGCTACAAACTGTTAACTGTGTATTATTTTTTTATCTGCTAATGTTTCTAATTTATGTTTCTGTCTGTTGTTCATTCAAATCAACTACCACTCCCCCTTTGGTGTAATCTTGCTATAGTCAAATGTTTATAAGTGGTGGAAACCAGGTGGCAAGTTAATTCTGAATTTCGCAAGGGCTATCAAGTTCACCCCAATATATTTTTGGGGAATTTTTGGGTATGTCTTTCTTTTTTATTTCCACTGGCCACCTGCCTATACTCCTATTTTCACTAGCCAGGGGTATTTTTCATGATGGATGAAAGTAATTTTTTTAATACAAAGTTAAGGTTGTTCAATGAATTAAATTATAAGTGATGGAACAACAGAATAAACTTTTTTTTTTTTGGTTCAGCTTAAAATATTAGCTGATAATGTGATTGGAAAAGGTGGATCAATTATTTTGCTGGATGCATGCCTTTTAAAGTCAATTTTCAGCTTCTTTTTTTCTGTATTGGTTTTTTTTTAATTTTTTTTATATAGAACGGAATTATTTTCAAGGACAGTAATCATTTGATTGGTGTACCAGACTAGTAGTATGAAGCTTAAACTAGTAACATTGAATATAAGTCGTTGTTATCTGGTTTCTGGAACTAATTTTAACATGGCCAAACTCTCTTTCTCTTCAGATCTCCATTACCATTTAAACATCCAATGCATGTGGTGGTGGGTAGACCAATTGAGCTCGAAAAAAACCCAGAGCCAACTCCTGAGGAGGTATATACTACCTTTATTTTAAATAACATTCACAAGTATCCAGCAACTTTTAACCCCTTTTAGTAAAAAATGTCATCTATTTAATAAATTGTCGATAGAGTAAAGGAATCTTGGAAATAATAAAACTTTCATCTTGTCTTGTCCTACCCAGAAGGTTTTGACTTTCACGGAATAAACCTTTGTAGTATGGATAAAACTATTTCTTTCTAGATAGTACTTGCAAGCTATGGTTCCAGCAAGGTCTTTACAAATTTGAGCCACACATGACTAAACCTTTTATCTCTTCTATTACTTTCACTTTGTTTTAGGTTGCCAAAATACATAGCCAGTTTGTTGAAGCACTTCAAGATCTATTTGAACGGCACAAAGCTCGAGCGGGACATCCAAACCTTGAGTTAAGAATTGTTTGATAAGGTCAGAACTTGGACCCGTATTTTCATTGGGGGTTAGTTACACTTGTCTCCTCTAGGTTAAGCTAGGCTTTATTTGGGAGCTTTGAAGATGGAGTGGAGTGGTTCATGATTAATTTAATTTGGAATGGGGGTTAGTTGAAATAATACTGTTGGTTGAATGAGAAGGGAGATGTCCCTATTGTTTTAGAAGTCAAAAAGGGTCATTAATGGTGTAAATTATAATTTTTTTTTTGTCCATGGACATGATACATGTAGTATCTCAAAGTTGACAATCAAGTGCTAATTTATGCTTACAGAATGTGATTTCTGCTTGCCAATGTAAATTTAATTGTGTTTGAACAATTTATATCAAAAATATTTATAATGTAAGATTAATTTAAAATGTTATTTTATGATTTGATATATGTTTAAAAATATAACATGATAATATAATAAATTGATATAAACTTCTATATCAAGAGGTGTAAATGAGGATTCTTTCCCAACATATAAGGCAGCAGCGTTATCCTACTTGACTGTGGGATACAGACAAGCATCCACGGAGGTACACTTCCATGCTAATGAACAATTTATGTGGGACTCAACCGATGCTTATGGAGTTGCAGTATAGTGGAATGAATTGAATTTTCTTTATAGCCATTTTATTAATGAATAGCAACTGAAGAATTAGTCATTCTTTTTTGGTTACGGTTAGGGGATATCTTGGTTTATCAAAAAAAAATTTTAATTTCTTTTCTTTTTTCTTTGAGGATTTGTTTAGGAATTAGGTTTTGGAAAATATAGGAATAGAGGTGTAAATTTAGGTCTAACTTGCAGATTGCACCGGAAGTTGATGGTGAGACCAAAATAGTAAGCTTATTAGATCGGCATGTAATTGAACAGAATTGGGTTGGATTAATTTGGTTGATTTTTGAAGAAAAAAAAAACTGATGACATAGTGAACGGTCCGGTTTTCAAATTGATTTTTAAAATTATAAAAATTTAAATACAAGTGTATTGTTACCAAGGAGGATTCAAACCTTATTTTCCACTCAAAGTTAGAACACACTTAACATTAGGCTAGTTGAACATTCTTTAATATTTTATAAATATATTATACCTATACAATTCTAATAAATAATAATAAATAATAAATGATATAAAATAAAAATGATATGTTTTACAAATATATTATTGTTCCGGCCAAGGGGTGCACTAGGGTTTTTTCCTAGGTCAAGCCTCAAAGTCAGAGCATTCAAAAGTGTAATCTGTCTCCTCAACTCTAGGGTTTTGGGTTTTATGGTACGTCGTTCATGGGCCTCTTGGGCCCCGAGAACGAAGGGATTTCCCTAACTATTCTTATCTTGATGGCGCGGGTTAAAGGGAACAAGTCTAGTCGGGTTACGACCGACTGGGTCCATGCCGAGTAGTCTCCTTAGTCCTTATAGGTGAGAGGAATCGAGTTCCCCAGGTCGAGTCGAGTCATGACCGACTAGGTCTGTGCTGAGCCCTCAGGCGGTTTAATGCCGAGTAGACATGGTCGCCCTACTGCCGAATAAAGGTGCAGGTCGGATTGCGACCTGGACGACACACTTGCCTTCCAGCCCTGAGCCGAGAAGGCGAGAGGGCTTGTGGTCTGATACACTAGTCGGGAATTACCTGAGCAGAAGGTCCAATCGGATTTTGACCTGGATGGTACACTTGCCTTCCAGCCTTGAGCCTACAAGGCGAGAAGGCTTGTAGCCTGGTAACCTAGTCGGGTATTATCCGAGCAGAAGGTCAAGTCGAATTTTGACCTGGACGGTACACTTGAGTGACTGTTCTCTTTGAGCCTCCACGGCCATAGGCCGAGAATAGGTGTCGGGAGTATGCCGAGAACCAAGTTGTCACGTGGGACCGTGGTTTCCTAGAGCCCTAAAAGAGGTGTCTTTTCACCTTACTCGAGAAAGGACATGTATTTATTGCAACGCCTGCAACGTGTGAGTAATGACTGTGCCACGTGGCGGAACGTGTTGTTCAAGTTAATGGCGTGGGACCCCCCCTTTGTTTTCTTGGGTTTTGTGAAAGCTTCTTCACACTCGGTTGTCCAAGCAAAACGGTCATTCTTCTTTAGACATTGGAAAAGCGGCAACGCCTTATCGGCCGATCTGGACAAAAGTTGAGATAGCGATGCCATTCTTCCCGTTAGTTGCTGGACTTCCTTCACCGTGGACGGACTCCTCATGTTGATGATGGCCGAGCATTTGTCCGGGTTCGCTTCAATGCCGCGATGAGTCAGCAGAAAACCGAGGAACTTTCCCGCTTGGACACCGAGAGAGCACTTTTCGGGATTCAGTTTGAGCTGGTACTTGCCAATGGTGTCGAACAACTCCTGCAAGTCGTCGAAATGCTGACTGACGCTTTCCGACTTCACCAACATGTCGTCCACATAAGCTTCCACGTTTCGGCCTAGCTGATTCACAAGGACCTTGTCCATCAGTCGCTGGTAGGTCGCCCCCGCGTTCTTTAGACCGAATGGCATGACCTTGTAACAGAAATTGGCTTGATCGGCTATGAAGGCGGTCTTGTCCTCGTCTGCGGGATGCATTCAGATTTGGTTATACCTTGAGTAAGCGTCCATAAAGCTCAGCAACTCGTATCCCGACGCCCTGTCAACCAGGCAATCTATGTTCGGCAGTGGGTATGAGTCTTTCGGGCAAGCCTTATTAAGGTCGTGAAGTCTGTGCACATTCTCCACTTCCCGCTACTCTTGCGCACCATAACCACGTTTGATAACCAGGTCGGATACTGGATTTCTCGGACATGTCCTGCCATAACCAACTTCTGCTTTTCTTTTGCGATAGCCCTTCGCTTTTCTTCGCCGAACTTCCTTCTCTTCTGGATCACTGCCTTCGCACTAGGGTCTATAGCAAGTTTGTGACACAAGAAATCTGGATCGATGCCCAGCATGTCACTGGAATGCCATGCGAATGCCGACACATTATCTTTTAGGACCCTGATCAACCTTTCTTCGTCCTCGGGAGTCAACAAGGTACCTATCTTTACGTTCCTCGCTTCCATTACTTCCACTTCCTTGACGTCTTCCGCGGGAGAGGGTCGGTGGTCGAACTGAGCCATCCTAGGATCTAGCTCGACGGAATGGATGTGCTTCTCAGCTGGGGCGGTATATAATCGCCTTCTCGCCTTCAGACTGTCTTCATAACATTTTTGGGCGACCTCTTGATCTACCTTGAGGACCCCGATATCCCCATTCGGCAACGGGTATTTCACCTTCAGATGCAATGTCGATACTACAGCTCCAAGCTTGTTCAGTGTAGGTCGGCCGATGAGTATATTGTAGGACGACTGAGCATTCACTACCAAATACCGAACAGTTACCATTTTCATCTGCGACCCCTGCCCAAAAGTTGTTTCTAGATCGGCGTACCCTCTAGCCATAACTTGGTCTCCCGCAAAACCTACTAGGGTTCCCGTGTAGGGCACTAGTCGGTCGTTGGGGATCTTCATTCCCATGAAAGTCTCCCAAAAGAGAATGTCAGCCGAGCTCCCCTGGTCGATCAGGACGCGCTTTACATTATAACCCATCACTATCGTCGAGATGACGATGGGGTCATCCTCGTGAGGGGCTACTCCTTCGTAGTCGGCGTCTAAGAAGGAGATCGTGGGCTGCGGTGGTCGGCAGAAATCCGATATGGACATGACGGAACGAGTGTATCTTTTCTGCGCGGCTGAGGTGACTCCTCCTCCTGCAAATCCTCCTGCCACTATGTTCAAGGAATATCCTGCTGATGTACGTCCGATGACCCTGCTGGGGTGTTCTTGGGGGAGTTTTCTCTCTGTGCCTATCCCTCCTGGTGTCATCGCGTGCGCGCCTGTGTCGCCTATCCGACGAACCTTCTTCCTGTTTTCTTGCCACAAACTTTGCCAGACGCCCCTCCTTGATCAAGCGTTCGATCTTTCTTCCATGCCTCCCCCACATATCAACATTTAAGCCTGGAAATTCGTCAGATGTTGACTGGGATCCTGCGTTCCGTCAAAGGGTTCAACTTGCGGTATCCGATGATCCCTGGGGATGGGCCTCGGCCTCTATGGCTTCCGAGAAAGGCCGAAAATCCCTAGGGACTTCCAACATGACATCCTCCTCCACCATCCTTGTACTGGCTTCTATCCTGGCCTGCATCTCATCCGCTCGCCTCCTGATCTCCTCATTCTCGTGTTGAATGGCCTCCTCTCTCTCCCTGGAGCGCACATTCTCTTCTCGTAAGCCGTTGATCATGGCCATCATCTCCTCCATGGTAGGGGGTTGTGAGTTGTTGTTGTTGTTGCCGCCTCTTGCCATGGTAAAGTGCTAGTTCTTCTGTATAACTTGGGGCATAGGAAAAGTTTCACCGTAGCCCCACGGTGGGCGCCAAAATGTTCCGGCCAAGGGGTGCACTAGGGTTTCCTCCTAGGTCAAGCCTCAAAGCCAGAACATTCAAAAGCGTAATCTGTCTCCTCAACTCGAGGGTTTTGGGTTTTATGGTACGTCGTTCATGGGCCTCTTGGGCCCCGAGAACGAAGGGATTTCCCTAACCGTTCTTATCTTGATGGCGCGGGGTTAAAAGGAACAAGTCTAGTCGGGTTACGACCGACTGGGTCCATGCCGAGGACCCAGTCGGGTTAATGCCGTGTAGTCTCCTTAGTCCTTATAGGCGAGAGGAATCGAGTTCCCCAGGTCGAGTCGAGTCATGACCGACTAGGTCTGTGCTGAGCCCTCAGTTGGGTTAATGCCGAGTAGACATGGTCGCCCTACTGCCGAATAGAGGTGCAGGTCGGATTGCGACCTAGACGGCACTTGCCTTCCAACCCTGAGCCGAGAAGGCGAGAGGGCTTGTGGTTTGATACACTAGTCGGGAATTACCCGAGCAGAAGGTCCAATCGGATTTTGACCTGGATGGTACAATTATACATATACAATTTTATTTCTAACACAACTACTATATTATTATTTTATTTTTATTTTTTTAATAGAAATTGGTTTTTCCGATTTAACAAGTAACTTTTCCATTCAACCTTTAAACCATTTAATCATTATCGAGACCGGTCCCATGATTGATTTGGTTTTTATAACACTCTGCTGACTGCCCAAAGTGTTTGTAAATAGAATCAAATTGGGTTTGAAAAATAGTTATAATAAAATTGCGTTTTTTAGTTTGGTCTGGTAAGCTAATTGGGCTTGTGTTGGGTTGACACATTGATTTTGTAGTTTTACAAGGACCGATTTAGATATAAAATAATTTTATAAATTGTTTATAATTGTTTCTTTTATTATTATTATTATTATTATTATTATTATTATTATTATTTATTTTTATTTTTATTTTTATCTCAACTACTTAGCGATTTCAAGCATCGTA